GAGAGAGGGGGAGGGAGAGAGAGAGAGGGAGAGAGAGAGAGAGAGAGAGAGAGAGAAAGTGTGTGTGTGTGAGTGTGTGTGTGTATTTTTTCTTAGAGACCACATCTTGCTATGTCGCCTAGGCTGGAGTGCAGTGGCATCATCATATGTTACTGCAGCCTTGAACTCTTGGGCACTAGTAATCCACCTGCCTCAGCCTCCCAAGTAGCTAGGACTACAGGCATGTGTCCCCATGCCCAGGTAACTTTTACATGTTGTTGTAGAGATGAGGTTTCACTATGTTGCCCAGCCTGGTCTTGAGCTCCTGGTCTGAAGCCATCCTCCCACCTTGGCCTCCCAAAATGGTGGGATTACATGTCTGGCTGATAAAAATGTTAAGAAAAGTTAGTTTTGCCGGGCACGGTGGCTCACGCTTGTAATCCCAGCACTTTGGGAGGCCGAGGCGGGTGGATCACGAGGTCTAGAGATCGAGACCATCCTGGTCAACATGGTGAAACCCCGTCTCTACTAAAAATACAAAAAATCAGCTGGGCATGTTGGCACGTGCCTGTAATCCCAGCTACTCAGGAGGCTGAGGCAGGAGAATTGCCTGAACCCAGGAGGCGGAGGTTGCGGTGAGCCGAGATTGCGCCATTGCACTCCAGCCTGGGTAACATGAGTGAAACTCCGTCTCAAAAAAAGAAAAAAGAAAAGTTAGTTTTATGTTGTCCACTCACCTATATTTCCTTATAATAAAACAGTTTTGGCTGGGCATGGTGGCTTACACCTATAATCCTAGCACTTTGAGAGGCCAAGGCAGGTGGATCATCAGAGGTCAGGAGTTTGAGGCCAGCATGGCAAACTTGGTGAAGCCCCATCTCTAGTAAATAAACAAAAAAATTAGCCAGACATGGTGGTGCATGCCTGTAATCCCAGCTACTTGGGAGGCTGAGGCACAAGAATTGCTTGAACCTGGGAGGTGGTGGTTACAGTGAGCCGAGGCTGTACCACTGCACTCCAGTCTGGGCACCAAAGCGAAACTCTGTCTCAAAAAAAAAAAAAAAAAAAGTTTTAATTGAAACAAAAAGAAACTGCTTTCTCATTATATGAGAGTGGGAAAAATGGGGGAGAAAGCCTGTTTGCAGCCACCTGTCCAGAACCCCAGGATTAAGGAGGTTATAGACAGGACTGAGGGCTAGGTGTAGTGTGTCTCTAGCCACCCGTCCAGAGCCCTGAGATTGAGGTTATAGAACAGAACTAGGGGCTAGGTGCAGTGGCTCATGCCTATAATCCACACACTTTGGCATACTGAGGCTCAAGATCACTTGAGCCTGAGGTATAGGCTGAAGTGAGGTCTGATCATTCCACTAATGCAGCCTGGGTGATAGAGCTATACCATATCTCAAAAAAAAAAAAGAAAAAAAGGTATGTAGAACAGAACTGACAGAACTGGAGTCCACTTACGTTACCCAGGAAAACTAGACACTTACACTGAGGCGTGATGGGATAGAAAGAAAGGCTTTTATTGCAGGGCCCCAGGCAAGAAGGATCAGGAAGGTAAAGTCTCAAATCTGGGCCTCCCACAAGGTATGTTGGCTCACACCTGTAATCCCAATGTTTTCAGAGGCCAAGGTGGGCAGATCACTTGAGGTCAGAAGTTTGAGACCAGCCTGGCCAACATGTTGAAACCCTATCTCTACTAAAAATACAAAAATTAGCCAGATGTGGTAGCAGATGGCTGTAATCCCAGCTACCTGGGAGGCTGAGGGAGGAGAATCACTTGAACATAGGAGGCAGAGGCTGCTGTGAACTGAAATTGTGCCACTGCACTCCAGCTTGGGTGACAGAGGAAGACTCCATCTCAAGAAATAAAACATATGACTAGGCACTGTGGCTCACACTTGTAATCCCAGCACTTTGGGAGGCTGAGGCGGGTGGATCACCTGACGTCAGGAGTTCAAGACCAGCCTAGCCAACATGGTGAAACCCCATCTCTACTAAAAATACAAAATTAGCTGGATGTGGTCACATGCACGTGTAATCCCAGCTTCTCAGGTAGGAGAATCACTTGAACCCAGGAGGCGGAGGTTGCAGTGAGCCAAGATCACGCCATTGCACTCTGGCCTGGGCAAAAAGAGCAAAACTGTATATTTTATATATATATATATATATATATATATACACA